ACGCGAGCATGGGGCACCATTTTATGTTCAAAAATGGCGCCCGCGCTCATGCCCGCACACAACACTGGGAGTAGTGCGCATGCATGCGTGGGTGCGGCAGCGGCAGCAGCGGCAGGACCGGCCACGGGCTGGTTGAAAGGCCTCGAGGGGCCACGTTCGGCCCCCAGGCCGTAGTTTGCCGACCCCTGACATAGAGAATATATTTCCCTGTTTAGAAATTATGATAGAAATCTTAACTATAGGGTGCATTTGTGTGTTGCGTGCTTTCAAGTCAGTTCTAACTTTTTGGAGACCCTAAGGTGAACCTGTCATGGGGAGGACAGTGGTGGCAAGATTTCTTCCATTGCCTTCCTCTCAGGCTGAGAGCATGTGATTTGCCCAAGGTCACCCATTCAGTTTTCAAGGCCAAGCTGGGAATCTAACCCTGGTCTCTGGAGTCATAGTCCAATGTTCAAACCACTCCACCATGCTGGTACATGTCCAGTCAACTTTAAGGGAGCTGTCCAAGGTGCTGAACCTATTTGGAAGATAGACCTTGGCACACTGGATATTATGATAAAAACCCAGAGAAGATTCACTCCTCTGCTAACATGGAGGCCACCATCCAGCACTGGAATCAACCTTAGAAAGGGTAAGCTCATGGAGATTCCAGTGGGCAGCAAAGCACAGCTGAAGCCACATGTGCACAAACCAGACCATCCCACTCAAGTGTTCAGATTTTCAATGCAAAAGACAACCATGTTTCAGAAAACCCACCATCTCGTGCTGCTGCATGCACCTTGCCAAACAAAGCTTGCCCCTCGGTTGAACAAAACCAGAGCTAGACCAAGAAGATGGGTAGAGATCCAATGAAAAACCTCTTAATAGGTGATGGGTTTCTTGGACCTCTGAAGGAGACAGGATGGAAGGATCCCACTGCATCTCCCATGTAGGTGAAGCAAGATTACAACTGTTAAACATATAGAGGCTGAGCACTTGCTGTTCAACAAGGTCATATAATCAGAGAATCATAGAGTTGGAAGAGACTCCAAGTGCCATCTAGTCCAACCCCTGTCATGCAGGAACTCTCAATCAAAGCATCCCCAACAAATGGCCATCCAGCCTCTGTTTGAAGACCTACAAAGAAGGAGACTCCACCACACTCCAAGGGATTGTGTTCCACTGTCGAACAGCTCTCACTGTCAGGAAGGTCCATTGGTTCCACACCCTTGTTATATCCACAGAGAGAGAGAGAGAAAGAGAGAATGAAAACCTACATATAAGCAGCCAGCATCATCTAGCGGTTTGAGAGGTGGACTAGAATTTCAAGAGACCAGGGTTGGAATCCTCTCTCAACCATGGAAACCCATCAAGTGACCTTGAACAAATCACACTCTCAGCCTTCATGGATGGCAATGATAAAATTTCCTCTGAAGAAATCTTGCCAAGAAAACCATACAGCAGGGTTTGCATAAGTCAGGCACATAACATCAATATGTGGCCACTGTGGTTTGCTTTGATCTGACAGAGCTGAGAAGAGTTGCTGTTTGGACTACAATTCCCAGAATCCTCCAAGCATGTGGTGACTTCCTAGGAATTGTAATCTGAAAAAATGACTTCCCCAGTCTCTAACCTCTGCTAAGGGATCTACTGTAAGCCAAGGGCAGGCAACCAATGCAGCACTGGGAGCCAACCTAAAAGCAGATAATGACCTAGAAGTAGTGACTTATTTTCATATTTAATATCCCCATGTTGACATAATTTTGCAATATCAATACATTTGGTAACTGATCACCAGTGCACATCAACACAGTCATACACACAACCTTTAAAAACAAAGCACTCTTTGGTCAGATGGATGCAACTTCACTGTGATTTATGACATTGTGATGTGGAAGGTTTCTATAAAATAAACAAAGGTATGCAATTCAACAATAGTCAGTGGCTACTTAGGGATGGGGTATTTCCCATAAGCTAGCCACAAAAACACACACAAACACATGCGTAAGCATCATTATATAACCTCTGCTAATAGTGGAAACTCCAAGATTTCTAGATGAGAGACGGCTAGATGGATTTCAGTTGCTACTTTAACCATGACGTGAGTGTGTGTGTGTGTGTGTGTAGACAGATGGATGGATAGATGGATGGATACACAGATTCTTGTTTTTATCAATGTTGTTGAACCAGCTAGGATGAGAAGGACATTCTGTTGTAAAACTGAAAGGCAGAGTACAAATCAAATCTTTTACAAATAAGTAAGAGATGTGGTGCTTTTTGCTAAATATTAAGGTATGTTGTCAATCTGATCAAGAGTGGAAATCCTGAGTAGGGAGGCTCATGCATGTACATAAAAATAAGAAACCACAAAATTTTCCCCCATGCTGATGAAACTGTCTGCTTGCTCCCTTGTTCTTGCACTGGAAGTGAGAAATTTCAGGGGCTAACAAATTCTCAACTGGTTGTCTCAGAGGTGCTGAACCATTCTGTCTCATTGTGAATAACTCAGCGAGATTTCTTCACTTTTGTATGCCATATTATTATTATTATTATTATTATTATTATTATTATTATTATTATTATTAATTTTGGGGGCAATACCTCCCTCAATGCCTGTACCAGCATAGCGGATGGCGGATGGCCATGCTGTCTGGGAGATTTGGGGAACTGTAGTTCAAAAGAAGTAATTTTTAAAAGTTTTGATGATGGGGAGGCTAATAGGAAAGAGGAAACTGGCAGAAAGGGAACCTACGCTTGCAGCAGGAAAAGAGGGATGGGGAGGGAAGATGGAAGCAGCAGGGAACTAGATTGTTTCCAGTGCTCTGAACCAAAAAAAAAACTTTTCACAGGCTTGGAAAGGTCCTTTTTCATTATATTTGGGGTTTTATTTTGGCAGTGAGCTGAGCATAAGACAATCCAATCGCCTCGCCCGACAGTGTCCAAGCAGAGTGCTGCCCTCATCTCAGTAAGATTTCAAATTAGCTTGTCAGTCGTGCGCAGGGAATACCATAGAAGTCTCAAAGCTCAGCCACTGGGAAGGGGAAGAGGGAGAGAAACAGCTGTGTCATTTGCAAAAAGATGTTCCCTGCTTACATGGGAAGTTGCTTTCTCTAACACTCTCGGGTGATTCTTACAGCAGTTTTCTCTTTTTTTAAAAAAATTGTCTATGATAGCAGTTTGGGGAGATAATACAGACAAATAGTGATTGATGGATTCCACAGGAACAGGGAACAGGTTCACTCCATGGTTTAATCTCAAGGTGATAGGACCTATTCTACATGCTGAATCTATTTGGAGGATAAGATCTAGCACCTTGGATAGTTCCTTTAAAATGTAGTAGGCCCTCCACATTCACTGGAGTTAGTGGTGCAGGACTCCCATTAAAGTGGAAAAACTGCAAATAAAAAAACACTTTTTTTCTCTTAGAGAACATCTCTCTAGGTCTTCCAGCACACCTCTATGGTCAACATCAGTCAGAACTAGACCACTGAATCATTCTGGAAGACCTAAAAATGCCCAGAGAAGTGTTTTCTCTAAGATTCTCCTCCAGTGTGACTCTATGGTCAACTTCCAGCAGAGTCACACTGGAAGACCTAATGATTCCTACAGAAAACATATCAATTAAATCCGTAAGTAATCAAAGACACAAAAGTCAAAGCCACAAATGTAGAGGGGCAGGTGTACACTGCAAAACCTGGAGTGGATCATCCTCCCCACTGACATGGAAGTGATCAGCTGGCACTGGCTACAGGCCTGCACAGTGTCTCATCCACTATCTAGCTCATGTTTTGAAGCATCTAGCCCAGGGGTAGGCAACCTTTCCCCTTTAAGGGCCGAGGGACTTCAGCTCCCAGAAGCCTCAGCCATGTTGGCCAATAGTCCCATGTTGGCCAATAGCTCCTGGGATTCTGGGAACTGAAGTCCCTCGGCCCTTAAAGGGGAAAGGTTGCCCACCCCTGATCTAGCCTTTGAAACCACTATGCTGATGATGCTGGATGCTCTTCTTCTCATGTCTGGAGTGATTCGTCCCAGGGAAGGCTGAAATGGTGTAAGATCAAAATCAGTTCATCATGACTGGAGACAGCTGGTGGCTTCTCTGTCATTGGGTTGATGAATTCATTCTGGGACCTAGTTCAGACTTTAAACTATCTGAGGTGCTGGATTCAAGGCCCAAAATAAGTTGTGCATCTTGGAGAAATCCTTTAAAATTCAGCTTAAAACCTGGAGCAGTTTCACCACTACCCTGACCTGGAAGCCACCAGCTTCCACTGTTTGACTCTGCCAAACATTATCAGACAAACTTGTGGAAATCTACCATTGATTATACAGAGGGCCCTCCACAATCTCTGGGGTTAGGTTCATGGCCCTCAACATCCAGCCAAACCGCCCTTTTGCTGGGCTCCCCTACATGATTTAACATCAAGAGTATTTCCAACCCTCTTCTGGAACCCTGATCTGAGAGCAGTCATATCTCTAACTGACATAAATTTGCAAATTATATCCATCTCATTGGATGGATAGCAAGAACAAGAATGAAAGAAGAGCAAGCTGGATCAAACAAAAGACTTAACATATCCAACATGCTGTTCTCACTATGGCCAGGCAGATCCCTGTGAAAAGCTAACAGGCAAAGCATGTGCAATAGCACCCTCCCACTCATGCTCCCTAGCCTACTGCCTCTGATACACAAAATAATATAACACCACCACAAATAGGGTCATGAGGTGTCCAGGCCAAAATCTGAAACCAGGGGACAGCCCCTCATGATGTTGCAAGTGAGACACTATGAAGTCATTAAGCAGTTTATTAAACATTGACATGTTACAAGTCGAGGGCACGAAATGCTTTTCCTTAAATTAAAGAAAAGAAGGAAAGTATTTTGATCTGTCATTACACTATGGAGGGATATAATAACCAGCCAAAATACCCTAAAGGCCCTGGATCTGATCTTGAAAGCTAAGAGGGTCAACCCTAGTCAGTTTTTGGGTAGGAGACCACCAATGAATACCTGGTACTGTAGACTATATTTCAGAGGAAGGAACTGGCAGAACCATTTCTGAGTATTCCTAGCCTAAGAAGACTCTACAAAATCCATGGGATCACCATAAGTCTACACACACACAGGGACATAATTCTTCACTTATGGAAAGAAACAACAACTAGTTTAGCAGTTTTATTTTCTCTGTAAGAAAGTTTTGAAAATGGCACAGTTCTGAAAGACTATTCACACTTCAGGACTCATTCTGTGCATAATTTGCATGTGCTTGTTCTGTGCTCAGAAGAGCACTTTATGGGCAGGAAACAGAACTCATAGTATCTGACTCATAGGATAAAACATGCAAGCAGTCATAGCTGTACTCTATAATGGCTAAGTCCCAGTGAGATTCCCTCATCCCTTGGCCCACTTCAGCTGCTGCTATTTAACTAAATAAAGGGAGCCAAACATGGATCTCCAGATGTCACACAGAGTGGTGACCCAATTACGAGATTTTCAA